CCCCCCCCCCCCCCCCCCCCCGCCGATGGGATGCTAGTCAATCGTAAAGTTAGTACCCCCAGGATTAAGTTTGCCCGGCGGTACCTATTTTTACACCTCGGTAAAGTGAGACACTGCAAGAGTAAAGTTTCTTCCCCAAGAACATAACGCAATGTCCCCATCCAGAGCTCGAACCCGAATCGCTTGATCAGGAGTCCAATGAGATAACCATTAGGCCACCGTGCCGCTTCTATGCCTTCTATGACACAGCACAATGGCCTAATGAAAACCATCTACCCTCTGGACTCCAGAGTGGTCAGGGTTTAAGCCCTGGCTAGCTGTTGTTCTTGTGAAGACTGTTAACTCTTACAGTACCTCTCTCCATCCAGGTGTCTTAATCGATACTGGTGACCTTAATGCACAGAAATATACTAAATAGAAAAATATGTATAACGTACCCCCGTGATGGACTGCATTCAATCCAGAAGGGAGTGGAAGTATTCCCAGTTACTTCATGCTACACAAGCTTGGATGTTAGCGCTAGCTCTATCTAGCACTAGTGAGACCCTTGGGTTGTTTTCTTGTAACCAAAAATTCCAGCAATTCTGGTTGGGTGTTAATACAATGCAACTATCTGGTCGGTCTGATCCACTGGAAATCACCAGGAAAAACAGAACTTCTGAAGAGGTAGTACGTCGCGTTCCATCCATTGTTTTAGATCATTTTAATTACATCAAAACCCTTCTGCTTTCACAGCCTTTTTCAACCTAAATGGTTGGGGAATTCTCCTGACAAACTTGATCAGGATCTCAGATCGCTAACTCTAATAACATGCAGTTGGAGGGGGCCGGTAGTTTTCCTCCATGTCGCCAATCAGCGGGTCGGACTAGACCATTTGATTAGTTAGCAGAGAGATATCACTGAAGAAAGAAGGTCAGTAGAGAGACTGAACAAGGGTTGTCAAATTCGTTCTAAACTCAAGCTCTACAATATAATTTGTTTTTCTTGATCTGCGTTAATAGATTGTTTTCTTGCTTTCAGGCAAAGGGAAAAATTGTGGTATTTAATGAGAGATGGGTAGATTATCGAACTTCAGTGATTTATCGAGCCCATGGTGCTGCAGAGGTAGCCAAAGTTGGCGGTGTTGCCTCTCTTATCCGCTCTGTGACTCCTTTCTCAATCTACAGTCCACATACTGGCTGGCAAGATTATGAACAAGGTGACTTAAGTATTTGTATTATTAACTCCGAGATTTTTAGCAGCTCTTTTTGTTGGGGTGGGGGTTGAATGACTCTGGATGCAATGATTTCAAGTTCATTTAATACTTGCTTAACTTTATTGATGTTTGTGTGTTTCATCTCTTTTGTGGCTTGTTTCTTCAGAGGTAAAGAAAATTCCCACGGCCTGCGTTACAGTGGAAGATGCAGAAATGATGGCAAGGATGGCTGCTAGAGGAACAAAAATAGTTATCAACTTAAAGATGGCCGCCAAAAAATTGCCTCCAGTAGTTTCAAGGAACACAGTTGCCGAGATAAAAGGCAGTGTATATCCAGAACAGGTCTGTGCATTTTTGTCAGTCTTTCTCCTCGCCAAGGTAATTTGTGTAGCTCATCAAACTGATATCAACGTCTATTTTGAGCTCTGAAGATCTCAAAGACGTTGATAAACCTTTACGGTGCAAAGGGCAGAAACGTTGGATGGACATGTTTTAGGAGAGCCAGCTTAGTTTTTGTTCTTAGCTATACAGTATTTGCATCCTTGCCTAGGTTTGAAACAGAAGGCCTTTACCGTTTCTTCATAATCTCATTACAGCATATGTTGCCATCTGTTTCTACACATACTTGTTATTAGTCTCTACATTAGTGGCAATTTGACCTCCTCATTTCTGCCGTTCTCATGTAGGGTTGCCCCTAAGAGACATAACTCAAAACACCTGTTTACGGCCGAGTATGCTTGATGGGTCCTTGATGTTTAAGGACGGTGCCTGCTAAATACAAAGGTTTTTGCGCCAGGTTAGGACCACGCGGAAAAAGTAGATCTTTCCAAGGGCTATTGGAATCCAAAAGCAAAAATGGGAGTAGCCACGCATTTCTTCGAGATAATTAGCCTTGAGTCTCAACAAAAATGCTGACATCAGCATTTTTCTGAAAAAGAAGGAAAGCGTATTTCTCCACAGATTTCCTTAGAATTC